GATATCAATTGTTCTATATCAGCTGACAATTCTTCATCACATTGATTTTCAATGTGAATTACAAAATTCCTGAAACTGCAGCCGCAGTATTAAACTGAATTTTATTGGGACTGGCCTCTTTGAAAAATTGAATGCAGATATGCTAAATGAATAACAGGTATTCTGTAGATGGAAACATAAGCAAAAGTAAATCCGATCATTTGTTCATAAGTGGTATTTACGATCCTTGAGAAGTGGTAGGAGACATCTTCTGGATTGCAGCAGAATTAAAAAAAAAATCAACATAGCACAACCAAAGGTATTCTAAGATGTCATTTTCAAATCTAGTTTTTTTCGGGAATCTCTTCTTTCTTTGTTATAAATTTTTTTATGATGTGGTTTATTAAATTTGCAGCTCCTGTGTCAAAAATTCGTTTTGCAACAATGCTTTGGTATCTGACCAATAATTAGCTTGCTCGCTGCTCAGCAAGTGACAGCTTTGTGAATCGCGTTGCGCGCTTCGTACAAGCTAGCTGTTAGGGTATTGTTACGTCATAGGCAGAGATGATATATTGGTGGACCCAGGTATAAATAAGCTTTGCAACGCAAATGAACTGGAATCATAGTAGTATATATTTACGCGGGAATTGCCAAATTAAAATGCCAACTCGATTCGCGGGTCGCACACCATTCAAACTTGGCACTTCTCCGCGGGCCCCACAATTTTTCTTTGCGGGACGCAAGTTACACACCCCTGATGTAAACCATAAAATTTTGCTCCGTAAAATGTCTCATTATGGAATCCGAGATTAACGCCTCAAATTTTCTACACTCACATCTAAGTGAAATACTTTGAATGCATTGATGGCATCTCTTCACTCGAATATATAATGCGGTGTCCATAGGGAAGCACCCTCGGACCTCTCCTATTTTTAATATATATCAATGACTTACTAGCAGCAACTAGCTTAGACTCGACTCTTTTCTCAGACGATATTGCACTAATTAATTGTACTACTCGCTGTGAAGAACTTTCGATCGATAAAAAATCGAAATTGTTCACCTCTGGCTAAAAAGTGATAAATTATCTTTAGGCCATTCAAAAACTAAATTCGTAGTTTTTGGTTTCAGGCAAATTCCTTAGCAGTTCCATCTCCAAATTGGCAATGAAAAAATAGAAAGATCAACATGTATTGTTTAGGCTATTATGAAATCCGAGTTTAACCCCTCAAATATTAACAGTCCCATCTAAGTGAGACACAAAAGTAGGATAGAATAGAATTTAGAAAAGCCGATAAGATGGCCTAATCTTATGGTGAACCACGCCCTCTCGTCCGGTTATTAGTCCATGTCGGGTATGGGATTAGTTAGCCAGTTATTTGTTTTTGAAAGTATAGAATTGATGGTAGGGGAAGCCGTAACCGAACAGCGGTTACGTGAGCCACCCTGCGGCGGCGAGGAGTCCAGCAATCCTCTCGCACATAACTATTCCCGCATGGGATTCGAACTTGCAAACCCACGCAGTGTTATCAGAGGTGCGGTGGCGAGCGTATTTCTGACGCTTAGCACGATGCGCCACACCGCCGAGAGCATTGATGGCGTCTATTCACTCGAATATAAATAATAATGTGGTGTTCTATAGCGAAGCGTTCTCGGACCGCTCCTATTTTTAATATATATATATATCAGAGTTGGATCAATTACAGTAATTCAGTTCAATTACCATTACAATTACTCCCTTAAATTTTTCAATTACATTACAATTATTCCTTGAAAAAAATATCAAATTACATTTACAATTACAACGAAGCAATGCTCAAATATATGGACACGTTACACAGAGCGAAGCAGTCCATACCCTTGACGCCACTACCCTAAAAAAATATCCGAGTTTCGCGTAGCAAAAATCAAACCAGACAGCCAGTGTTCCCATGGACAAAATAATACAGCGAAATCTTGGACGAAATATCAGATTTCATACGAAATTCTAGAAAAAAATTCCATCTTCAACCACTGAAAATTTCAGAGCATTCGGTCCAGTAATTGAAGAGAAAAGCGACTTTTCAATAACTAAGTCAAAATACAAGAACAACAACACAACATACCAAAAGTTTTGGTCAAAACGATCATTGTGTCCACTAACTAACCTGTCCAATAACATTTTGGTTCGTATTTACAGTTTCACTTGCTCAAAAACTGTTGGATTGCACTTGATGAGAATTAGGCTGCGAAAAGTTTCTGACCCCAATAAATTTCTTCTTGCCCTATAAAAGTTACCCGCAATTGAAAAAACTCTTTCCTGACGGAGCTGATGTTGCTGTTAGTTAGGGTTACCATATTTTTTTGACTTCAAAGCGGGACGCCTCCAAAGACACGACCCCTTAGCTGTGATCCTGTTACTCTACAGTTTCCGATTTTACTATACTGTATAGAGGTCTGCATTTAAAGTCATCCCGGCTGTCTTCATTGACCATATTGTCATCGAGAGTTCATGCTCTATGTCTAAATATCGGGTTCAGTTCGAAAAATAGAAAGGAATAGACAGACGCTAACGACACAAACGATCGGAACTCAGACTTTTTTTTATGTACAGCAAAAGGAATAAAGAAAAATGAAATAGTCTGTCGTTTTCAAGCATTGAGAATTTCCTTATTTGCCCAAGCATGCTTTCCTGTGGATAACACCTTTAAAAAGACATCGCTCAATGTTACATTCACGTTAACGTCCGAACAGGACCAATTAGAATTGATTTTACATGTGATACGTTTGCTAGCAATGTTAGCGGAAAACAACGAAACAAACAAAATAACGCATATACTTTGTTTTTTACTTCACGGATAAGGACGACATGTCTGGAATCCAGCCCAAATGCCTTCATGCGCAGACAATGTTTACGGAAGTTCTATAGCTCATTTTTTTCGAAAATCTAACGCATTCACCCTCAGTAAGTAAGCTAGCGTTGCGCTACGCAGCAACAACAGTAACGAGAACATGTTCTTGTATTATGCTGGATGGCTGAACGCAAAAGCGGGACTTTTGGCTGACTTGTCGGGACGGCGGGACAAGACGCTAAAAAGCGGGACTGTCCCGCCTAAAGCGGTACGTATGGTAAGCCTACTGTTAGTCCCAAATATTCCTTGGCTACAGAAGCAAGCCTGGGAAATTCTTCTGATTTCTTCTTCCAATACATTAATGGGTTTTTGTCAAAATGCAAACTAACGAATAGCATTCGAAATCGCAAAATGAGGTATTGTTAACAACCACGACTGAAAATCTGTCTACGATATAAAAAAGGAAGGCGATTCTCGCAATACGCCCATTGGAAAAATATTTCGCCCTTTTTCGTGTTATTGCGGGCCAGATGAAAGGACGCCGTAGTTTGGTGATCCCTGGTCTAATTGAAAGTGTAAATGACCCAAAATTTAAGCAAAATTCAATTACATTTACAATTACACAGAATGAAAATGGCTCAATTACATTACAATTACATGAAAAACTGTAATTAATTACATCAATTACAACAAGAGAGCTATGCTCAAATATATGGACATATATATATATATATATATATGGACGCCACCTAACGGGCAATAATTTTGAAGACGTCATCAAAAGCGATGGGACAAAAAAAAAGCATTCTGTAGAAATTTTTATCCTTAACCACTGAAAATTTCAAAGCAGTTGGTCCAGTAATCAAAGAGAAAAGCGATTTCTTCAAACCGTGTCAAAGGACAACAAGAACAATAAACAACGAAACGATGGCTATGTCCTCTACGTGTCCAATTACAAATTACAATTGATTCAACTCTGATATATATATATATATATATAATATACGACATATCAATGACTTACCAACAGAAACTAGCTTAGACTAGACTCTTTTCGCATATAATGCCGCGCTGATTGATTGTGCTACACGCAGTGAAAAACTACAGCTTTCGATCAATAAAAAAAATCGAGATGGTCAACCTCAGGCTAAAAAGTAATAAATTATGTTTAGGCCATTCAAAAACTAAATTCCTGGTCTTTGGTTCCGGCCAAATTTTTGGCAGTTCCATCTCCAAATTGACAGTGAAAAAATAGGAAGATCAGAATGTATTAATATTGAGTATTTGGGTGTAATTCTAGATGAAAACCCGATATGAAAGTCTCATAAAGATCAGTTATGTCAAAAAGTTTCACAATCTCTCGGAATACTGTATAAATTACTCGAATCCTCGGTATCATTAATATATCGATGCATGGAAAACTGTAAATAGAGTTCTTACATATTCTCATTTGAAATATGGCGTAATCAGTTGGGGAGGAGGTAATAAAACTGCGCTAGTGGATGTATTGAAATGAATTGGATACTACTGATGCTAAATTAATGTAATATACGATGGTGATGAGAAGTATATTGGGTGGTGACATTTAATGTAATGCATATTGTTACCTCGTTTGAACACATATTGAAAAAATATATATTACTACCTAATCTACAAAATTTCGTTCCGATTCTTAAACACATTTGTTTCTAAGATTCTCAGCCCTGGTTAATTATTACTATTTACTCGATCATATTACGATTTACAACATTCAGAAAACCCCCAAATTTCTGGTTCCTGAGCCGTGTGGTTTGGGTTCTTCAAGAGTAGTTCCTGGTCTTATTTACTCTCTTTATTTCAAATCCACATTTTGAAACGAATACCGGTACTTTGTTAACCTGTACTGAGGTTACTACTAGCTAGAATATGATACGTGCGTTAATAAATGTTTACGTGCCCACGTTGCTATATTAGCGAATGCGAGCGTTTTCAAACATGCCTTGCATGGACTGGCGACTTGAGCGATACCGTAGAAATCTGGGATAAATATGAACTTAGGGCATGTTGCAGCCCTAAGATCCATCGTCAGCAGTGTAGGGTTATAGAATCATTAGAATGCAGGTACATGAACAAGCATTTTTTGGTTGGTTGGTGTTCTTTGACATGAAACTGATGAAATAGTAACGATCAGCATATCAGAGGGTCGGTCCATTCTGAAATGATTCTGGCATTTGATCTCAACCTGCTGACCTAACCTAACGAACAACAGGGGAATAGCAGAAAGAACAATTTTACTTTTGAATTTTATTATTGTGTCAATTCGCAGTTTCTGAGTTTAAAAATTTCATATAACAGTATTTCATATAAGTTAACAGTAACCGAGAATCCAGAGATGGTCTAGCGGCCAAAGCGTTAGACATTGCTGCATTAAGTTCTGAAGTTACGGTAACTGTGTTAGCATCACAGATTATAAGATACGTCTGGGGTTCACGCCTCACTCAGACCCAGAGCTGTAGAGTGTAATAATTCAGTAATTGAGGTGGGCAATGTGGTTCCTTTAAATTACCGGAACGGACCCTCAATTACCGGAACAGACCCCGGTCCAGAAATTTAATAGCAAAGACAGAAAGATCTGAAGATACATTTATACTACAGTACGGTACTAGGTAATACTGTAATTGCTGTTAAATCTGAGAATACTGGAATAAAGCGATTGTATGTTTCAGTATGTGGATATAATTCAATTGATGTTGTGTGTCTTATTCAGGATGACCCTTGTAGGCTTATTGCACAGAATTCGAACTGTTAATGTAGTTTTTAAATATAATAATTTAATCCATTTGATATATGACATTATTACATACATCACTTGGTGGTTGGTTATTGAATGATGGAACCTGAAAAATTATTTGACTATATTTCTAATTTTAATAATTTGATCACTGATCCATATTTCAAACTTGTATCAGTGGTCCCCATCCCGAATTCTTCCAGACAGTTCCTCAATAACTTTTTTTATAACTTGAAAAATAAGTATAGTACCACATAGGTAATGTGCTTATATAGCAATGTTTCAGATACTTGTAAATAAACAATACTACAAAATAGAAATATTGCTTCCAAATTAAATCATGCTAGAGTAGATTTTGATGGAGGTCTATTTGTGCTATAAAAATATTATAAGGATAAAAGTGAAGTCTGTAACATCCAAATATGCGGAATATTGCTTTATTGCTTGCCCGTTGATTGGAAGATTGCAGGTTCGAAATTTGGGTCAAAATACTCTTGTTACATTTCTCATTTAGCCTATGAGATTGCCAATGTATATTACCATATTATAATATTTTATTTGACTACAGATATCTTGGTGAATAAATTTTGACATTATTTTCTTTCAACTTCATAACAATGTCTTCTAAGCAGAATATCACACTTCATATGGATGGAATAAATGTAAGTATATTAATTAACAGATCAAAATAGAAAACTTCATAGGAACATTAAAAACTCAACAATTAATGATATATTTCCACATGTTCATGCTTTCAAAAATGGTAGTAAATTGTCAATTGTGTATTGATAAACAATTGTTGCTATCTGGGTTTATTTTTTGATTTCCTCTCGATCGGTTCTCAGAATTCCAAATGCTTTGTTATATAGTGTTTGCATAGAAAAATTATATTATAGATAATAAAAACTTTTATAGGTTTTTAGTTGGTTTTCGGTTGTTTTTAATTTCAAGGGATAAAACAGAACTTCATGCACATTACTAACTCTGCAATAAAATGTTGTTTTGACATTGGAAGTTTAAACAGTTAATTAAAACTTTAATTTATGTTCAAATATTGTGTACAAATGTTTGACAATGAATTTGTCTGAATAATTCATGCTTGACTTATGGGGACTTATTTAGGATATTTCTTATTTTTCAAGCAGTGTCCCTCAAGCAGGGATGGCCATTTCCGAATACTAAACTATTCCGAATACATTCTAAAATAATGTTTTCGAATCTGGAATTCCGAATACATTCTAAAATCGAAAATAACACATTTTTGTTTTAGTTGATTAAAACCCAATAAATTAGGAAATAAGCTTCAATAGAAATATCAGAATGAAGCCACAAACCAACAGTATATGTACACAAAGTAATTGATAGTTTATAGCTATCAATAAAAAATAATAGCAACTTGTGACACAGTCAGTTTATTAAAATTATTCACTTTGTACAAATGACCATATGAAAAGATAGCCAAGGAGTTGTCTGACGCTTTCTGTCATTGGTACCATGATATTACGATAATAGTCTAGTCCAGTGGTTCCCAAACTTTTTTGACCATCGCCCCCCTAAAGTAGTTTATACAACTTCATCGCCCCCCTCCACTACCAAAAAAATATAAAGTCAGAAACGAATATATTACATACCAAATAAGAAGACAAATCATAGTTTATAGTGTTTTTTAATGAGATAGATGAGCTTGGTGTTCTTCAGCGAGTTTTTTATTATATCTAAAATTACCCCGTTTACTGATGGAAAGGTGATTTCGTTGTTTCAATAGCAATAGTAGCACGGCTGAAAACACCGTATAATAGGTCGGAAATGAAAGAATCCAGGGTTCTACTTCCTCAAAAACCGCCGTGTACTCTTGCCTTATAGCATTTCACTTCCTAAATTCACCCCATTCCACATTAAAAAAAGAAAAAAAGTTAATTTTCCCAAAGTTATAATAATTCGTACATCTCATTCATTCGTACAGCCTGATGACCTGCACCAAAATACTTCGGAAAAGTTCATCCCCGATTCCTCATCCTATCACGGCCTCCAGTCCGATCACCAGTCCATAATTAACCAGCCATTTGCTTTTGGATTCATGGACTCGGATGGGGAAGAAGCCGTGAATGACTATCGGCTAGGGCCAAGGGGTCGGGAAATTTTATGTCGCTCGCAGGACAAAATTTAGGGTTGCTAGTCTTTTGCGGGTCGCATATATTTTTTGAAAGTTAAAAACGGAACAGCGTGCGAAAACTGCGACAATTCGTGAACTTAACTTAGTCGTGTTATTGAAAAAATATCACAATGACATTTAATGTGACACTGTCTTGTTGCTGCATCACACTGGATAGCTTTACGACGCCAAGATTGAAACATTTTCTAAATGGGCATCACCAAACCCACTTCTTTGCTTGTTCTTTGTAATGTTCATTTTCAAAAATAATGGTTTGCACAAATATGTACTTCCAAACACCGAAGTGAATATTTTCGCATGATTTGTGAAATTTTGATAAATATTTTCTTTAAGACGATACATTCTTACAAAAATTAAGCAGTGATGAATCTCCCGAATAGAATATGTATTTTATTTCCTTAGTGCTTTGCAATATATTCGAATATTTACTGCGCTGTTGAACCCCTGCACTCAGCATCAACTTTTCTGCGTGTTTCCATTTGTCTAATTACAATTAAATTGTAGGCTCGTTAAACGAGTCGCTGTTCACTAAATTGTTGTGATATAGTATAATTAAGGCTAGACGTGTCTCACGATAAATTCTGTTACATAAAAAAATGTAATTTACTCCTCGAGCGTAGATTATAAATAAAAAAATTTCATCGTCGAAACCGCCGTTTGAATATTTCCCCGGGCATAGACTTCCATGTTTACTTCGTGACATTGGCCAATCAGCAAGAAGCAAAAAACGTAACAATGCCCCCTTTCGCAGGCGCTCAGACACTCTCACTCAGACAGATTTTTAGACGTGGTCGTGAACACTACCTCATTTTTGCGTTTTGAATTATATTCGTTAGTTTTTAGTTGTTTTTCGGAAATTTAAATATAAATCAAATAAGCCAATGATTACTTTGTCTTTCTATGAGTTTCAGTTTAAATACAGCAATCAAAAATTAGTGTAAAAATAGCTGTGATAGACTAGGCCAGGGGTCACCAAACTTTTTTGACCGCGGGCCGGGTATGACTCAAATTGTGTTGAAACGGGCCGGATGAATATTTTTGTCAATGCAATACAATAAATTCACAAATGTTGGGAATATCGCAGAATATAGATCGAGAACATCATAGGAAAAAAAATTAACAAGATTTCTATATCTAGACAACTATCCTGAGTTTAGCTGTTATCAAAACGTTGCTGTCATGAATTAGAAATGTTACAAAATCCGCGGCAAAAAATGTACGCATCACTTCTGCTAAGTACCATTACGTCGTGTTGAAATACCGCTCATAAAAACGACTGCCTGCTGTAGCTTGGAATTCTATGAAATTTAAACAACTATTATCTGGTATTTGAATTTTTTCATTAGCGCATAAATTTCCCAACATTCGACGCTTTTAAAAATTACGCTCCAGTTATACGTAGTGCAAATTATTGATATTGTCTATGGACACCAATAAAATTTATATGGACGTGTGTATTTCTTGTCTAACTTGATACTTACCAATTTTTAGGAAGTTCGTACAATCAGAACATCGTTAATTATTACCCACAATGAACCACTGTCAAACTATCATGCACAACTCCAGCGTTTATTTGCGACGATCTTTCGGCGGTGTCAATGACCGTTGCCAGAATAAAATCCTGAAATTATCTCAATATACCATAGATGTGACGCACATCGAAAGATTAGTGATTGATATGTGTTATTTTTCCATATTTAGTACAGTTCCCATCAAAAAAGTAATACAATCATCATGGGAAAAATTGGCTGTCGGGCGGTACTAAAATTCCGATATCTCCGTTAGTTTTTATTTAAATCGGATGAACTTCAATTTTTTTGTAACATACCTACATGAATATCCGCATTAAAGCAGTACAAAAGTTAGTGTGGCTTTTGAAATTGGAGCAGTACGCGAGGGATTACAGTACTGTTAGCACAAAATGCACATTCGACGTTTATTTTAGCACGAAAAACAAACAGTTTCGTCGAAAGCAAGCGCCACGAGTGTACAAGTGTATCGTAGAAAACGTTACGTACTGGTAGCATTCAAAGTCGCAAAAACGAAGTTTTGTTTACAACCACGACTGAAAATCTGTCAGGGTGACAAAAGTGTCTGAGCGGATGCGGAAAGGCCTATTATTACGTCACTTTTCTGCATTTCGCCGATTGGCCAATGTTACGAAATAAACAAGGACGACGATGCTCGTGAAAATCTTCCTTAGAAAAAAATTTAGCCATTTTTGCGTGTTATTGCGGAACGGATAAAATGACGCCGCGGGCCGGATAAAATGACGTCGCGGGCCGGATCCGGCCCGCGGGCCGTAGTTTGGTGACCCCTGGACTAGGCTAAAATTCTTTATCGGTACTTTTAAAAAACAAATTGTTAAATGGTGTGTATTAGAATGATAGTTTGAAACAAATACCCCATTTTACAGGCAACAACTCGCAAAACCACTCTTAAAATAAGTACCGAAAATTTTAAAATGGTAAAGTATGGGAAAAATTTTCCGCGGTCAAAGGTCGGGGAAAGGTTCATTCAGTGAATCGTCCCGGGCCAGATTATTTTACTCCGGCCGTATTTTGCCGACCACTGGGATACGCAAACTACCGTACCTTTCTGCGAAGACGAGACCAGAAATCCTTTCGCGTGTGAATATCACCCACATGATTCAAGCCTGCGAATGCACACAGAGTACAGAATTAAATGCGCCGAACATAAAACAGGTTTCGCGAAACCGCCCCCCTATCGCCCCCTTAGACTTTTTCGCCCCCCTCTGTATCGTTTTCGCCCACTGGGGGGCGATATCGCCCACTTTGGGAATCACTGGTCTAGTCTATTGACAAAAATACTACTTGTATTGAGATAATTGTGTCAATTTTCTGAGAGTAATAAAATTTATTGGCAATACAGGCAATTACAATCGAAAATCCATTATGCCTTTAAAAATTCTAATATTTAAGCCTAGAGTATTCTACTACCTACCAGTATATTTGTATATAAATTTATGTGAATCATATTGTTATTATGTGTAACATATTGTTGTGTTTGGAGTTAGAAATAAATTAGTAGAGAATAGATGACCACCACTGCCAGCGCGCAGCCAGGATTTTCGAAATCGGAAATTCCCATTGCCGCCTGTAACACCCACCGCGATTCCGCACTCGTTAAAAGAGTCGTCTTTTCAGCGTATAATCATCATTCTGTTACGTAAAATATTCAATCCATGACAACTACGAGATTCTAAAATATTTTTATATATTAATTTAATGTGTCCAACATAACTCGCGGTTGCTTCTTCTTACGTCAAAAAAAAACATTACTATTCGGTCCACGGCGATCTTTGACCTAAAATTACGAGATAAACTGCCTGATGTATTTAATTTTAATATTTATTTTTGCAATCTTGCCAACACGTTATCGCCGTTAGAAAAATCTCAAATAATTATATAAAATCCTGTTAAGTGTAGAGAATAATTAATTTCATACAATGAATATACATATAAAGTTTAGCAGTAAATTAAAAATATCGCCGCGATTATGCCACTTGTTAAAAGAGTCGACTTTTACAACAAATAATATACCAACGAATATATATCTTTCTGTTGTGCAAAGTGATGAATTCGTGACCGACACGGGCATATTTAAAATGTCTTGCTCTTATTAATTTAATGGTCTTCAATTAAACCTGCGGTTGCGTCGAAAAAATAAAATCCTCACCACTCTTATATACCATTGCAATTCGCGATCATAAGAATAAAAACGTGTGGTAAACTGCCCGATTAAATAATGTTCAGATCCGTATTTTGCGAATTCGGCAAATATTTAGATGTACTTGTTAACCGCTCGATCGAAATGCTCCGAGTAAAATATCTCAGAGTAAAATTTATTTCATCACAATAAAATTGAATGAATATACTTTAGATTAATTATATTATATACATCCTCACAACCAGGGAAAAAGTCGCGTTTCAAACCTTGTATCGTGTTAACACGAAAATATTCGACGGCAATTCAAAGTAATGGATAATCAGGCAAATCCCGCCCTCAATTAGTGACGATATGTTTCTAAACGCCGACCAAACATAATGTGTGCCAGAGGCATACGAAATTTTGCAATTTTCACTGCCTAGAAAAGCCTTTTTTAAATTTTCGCGGGCCTCAATAAAACTTATGTTGTTTACGGTTTTATTTTCAGTATTTTAAATTGCCGCTTTTCAATCAAAAAGTTGCGTTGTCTTTAGAAGCTCGCCGCCGATGAACGTATTTACCAGATTCACAATTCCGTGCGCGTACAAAAATAAAATAAATGTTATCGTTATTGTGGAACAAATTTGTTGAAAATTTTCGTTTTAGAGAAAATAACACAATCGCAAAGGCGTTTACCGGCCTAAATAACACGTTACGCTGATAAGTGATGAAAACAATCACGCGCAAGTTTCTAACGAGAATGTTTTCATTCAACTGAAACGTCTTGAAAGCGGCGTCGAAAATGTGTGACGTCACACAAATATCCGATATTCTTATGAACGTGAATTCCGATATTCGAATGACGAGATATTCGAATACATTCGAATACTTTATTCGAATTGGCCATCCCTGCCCTCAAGCGAACCAGAAATGGTTTAATGCATTTGTGTAATTTATTTTTATATAGGCTTGTGAATCAAGAGAATATGAGCAAGCTTTGAAACTTTTCAAGCGAATCGCAGAACCTTCGGCTGTGATATTCTTCAACATGGGATGCTGTTACTTGAAACTAAATAACTTCACAGAAGCTCTCAAGGTCAGATTTTTGTTTTGTCTTAATTTTTTTTTTTCAGTTTTGTCTTTAGAGCATTGTAGCACAACATGATAAGAAACAACATGATAAACGAGAATATCAGTCAGAGACCGAAGAATTATTGATCGAAAGTTAGGGGATCCCCAAAACAGCGCTCTTACTCCATAGTGACACCTTGTGTCCCATCACTAATTAATAACTCGCTAATTATACGGCATAATTCGCCCAAAATCAATAGGCTTCTGGTCCGAGATTACGAATGCGCATGCAAAATCTGGAGCCGATTCAATCTCGCTTTCGTGAGATATCGCGTGCATCTAACAGACACACACAGACAGACAGACAAATATATCAAGTTAACATACTTACCGATTAAAATCGATAAGTAATAATAAACACCTAGTATGTATTTCAAAAAGTGGAAAAATAAAGGAAAAGTACTTATTTAATTTCATTCATAAAACTAATGTGAACAGACGAAAACTAATTGAAATGAATCTATGTAGGAAGAAAGTTTCCCTTTTTCCCAAACATCGATGTCAATTTTGCAGTATATGAACTGTGTACGTATTCTATTCTAAATGCACTTCCTTAAAACATAAATACTGATATATGATATTACAAAGGATCAAGAATCAATATAAATAATATCATTTAAATTAGAGGCGTGCAAATGTTTATCGCAATGGGACAAAACGAAAAATTATGGTGATACTGAAAGCCGGAACTTATACTAACTATATAGTTTTTAGCAACTTGCAGTTGACTTCGCGAATGCTCACTTGTAAGCTGATTTCTGAAATCTGTCATTTCTCACAGGAGTATGTGCTGTCCAAAAAAATTGTTTTTCTTGCATGATTTTCCAGAATTGTTAAATGTTCATGCACATAGTTCCTGTAGTCCACGATATCGATAGGCATTGGTTTGAGATACTTCGATACTTACCGAAGAAGTGTCTAATCGACGAGCCATTTTTAATTGAGAAAGACATATGTGTTGTATTTTTATTCTTCAGAGACACCTTTCACGAATATCTGCAACCCATAATCGCACACGATACTATCGTATCTAGCAGATTGTTTTGTATATCACTTTCTCTTGATATAAATTGTTGACAAATTATGTACACATTGTATATCTGCATTTTACAATATACCTTCCGTTTTTACTAAATAGTAGACATTTAAACTTTATTAATTACAACACAGACACTGCACCAATAAAGTGATATGATATGACATTATTAAATCCTTGCCAGGGAAATCGTGATCCTGATGTGACATATATCACAATGTCCAAAATGCCGATGGTGTCCTTACAAATAAAAAAGCATTCAAAAGTAAGGGCATACTAGTCTGTTACAGACCATATTAAAAAGTTTTGCTGACCATATGTTACTTGCCTTTGATTCGTATAATACAAATTATCAAATATAATATATCCTATGATTCCTATATATCTTAATACTGTTAAAGCTGCACATGCCATTATTCGTTGTTGTATATTTCCATTCCAACACTCACAGCATAAAATCACAGAATCAAAAAAGTTTTTTTTTCAAATAAAAACACAATTTCTATGTTTATATAATACTTTTATTGAAGGAACATAATTCAAATGGCATGTTTGTAATTCAAAAGAATAGCAATAACCTTAAATTAAAAACACAACAGTGGCACATAATAGCATAATAATAACCAGAAGAAAAACGGTAAAAAAAGATTCATGCATTATGTTTGAAAATATTTATTGAAATAATTTAATTCTTGCGTCAGTAATATTACACTTTTGTGCAATATGGTTCACTGCATTTTGTAGTATTAGCCATCACAATGAATAATTAACTTTGGTAAGCATAAAGGGATGCCAGATCTCCAGTGCTTTTTACTGATATTGAGATTAGTGCAAAAGTAAAAAAAACAGCACTTGCATTATGATTGTAACTCAGATTTTATTAATGGAGCAGGCTCCCAATGAAAACCTCTTGTTTGGTCAACATATGTACGAGTATTTTATGTCTACAAGTAACATGACCAAAAACACAAACACTAAAGAAATATGGTCTTGAACACTTAGAAGTTGTGTTGCTTGCACGCCAAATGACACGAAGCGTACCACCTTGATATAACTATTATTTAATTCACCTCGATGATGAATGTTGGAGGTATCAGCTGGCAAAGAATTTTGTGGAATACTCTGTAAAATAAGTTGAGGTAGGAGTTGTATAATATTCACAATTTAAATAAACCTGAGGCAGTTTATGTTGACCTTGATTTAATAATTGATGCTAACTCTAAGCTCGCGATCTCAAGTTTAAATTAAGGAGGAAAACTAATAGGAATACTCAATCAATTTGCATCATATTCCTGCTGCGGAAGGTTTTATAGAAGACATATAAAGAATATTAATTGTGAAACTTGTGTTGGCACATTTCGTACACCTTTACTTATAGGTATTGTAGTTAGAGAATTGCTGTGATTTTAAAGTGTTGCATTTATTTGATACTTATGGTGTCCTATAGATTTATCAGGAACTGAGCACGCCAGTAGCATTCTATGAAGTTGGTTAATCATTTCATCCTTTTGCTTCAGAATATCACTCAACTCAATAAGTTTTTTATCCACAAAATCCCCAGTATCTGAGTTTGTTGCAGTCTTTAGAGACTCCCGTAATGATGTTATTACACTGTCAATGTTTGCACAATTTTCCATCATTGATTGGACCTTAGTTTGAAGCACTGGCCCATAAACTGGTGTCAAAGGTGATTGAAATGTGTTGGCATTCATTTTTGACGGAGAGAAGGAGATTGAGCAACCCTTTCCTTTTACTTCATCCTGATAGTGATTCAATGATATTCTTGGAAGGCTTTTTGTTTGACGAACAATGCATGATGTTTTTGTTACTGAAGTCATGATACAAGACATGCTAGAAGACCTCGTTCTTGGACTGGTAACAATGATTTGGGTGTTTTTGGTGACATCTTTTGTCACAGCAATGTGGATTGCTCCATTCTCCAAATCAATTTTGCTTGACAACTTATCTGTACTTGTCCCATGATGTAGTGTTTGCTGTTCTTCGCAATACTGGGGTGATGGCAACTCTAAGTTTTGATAATGGAATGCAGAAGACTGGTATCTTATTTTGTTGGCATCTGCAGTTTTTTTGCTTTGAGAAATATAATTCTGACCAGCTGGAGATTCATCAATGTCATCAAGTCGATAATTGGGTCTCAGCATATATTGATCAATCACTGTGTCACCCGTGTCGTCTGTGCTGACACAGGAACTAGAGTCAAAAGTGTTGAATCTGCTTCTATATGATCGTAAAGATGAGGTTGCATATGTACTTCCACTCGAACCACTACCAAGTGTATTCGTGTCAGAAGATCCAGATGAACTTGTCAGTGTGTCTGTATTTTGGACTGGAGCATTTGATTTTTCAGACTGCGTATTAGATAATTCCATAGATTCCATTATTTTCATGTGAGCAAGGCTGGAATTCAAGAATGACTCGAGCACACTTTCTGTGATTTCTGCTTTTTCCACCCATTCTTGAAACTCGTCAAAGTTGTTTGATTCTGTAATTAAGGATTCATGGAGGGTCTTCTTGGTGGTGTTTTGATAATGAGTTGGAGAGCACAACTCACTTATCTGAGGGAAGCTTGGAATGGAAAACAGAGAGACATTTTGTTGCGATCTAGCATACTCACTCAAACATAATGTACCTTCAGACTTCAAACTCGTTTCAGAGGAACTTCGACTGAGCACATCTGTTGCCAATGCCCCATCTATCAAACATGTTTCTTTGTCACCAAATGACGTTCCAGAACTATAGAAACTGTCGGATGACAAATGAGTTGAGTGTGATGAAGAACTGTCTTGCAGGTGAACAGCTGAATCTCCGAGCGGGTCAGAGATTAGTGCAACAGGGTAGGAACCGAGAGAGCTCACAACAGAGTATCTCTTTTCACAGCTTGACAAAGGGTCTTTAGTAAAGTCATTGCCTGATCTTGCATCATCATATGATTGTGTTCTTTTGCCCCTCGGCAAGTAGTCGACAGATGCTTGAATTGTGCGTAAAACTGGATGACACTCTGCGTTTGAATTGTTGCTGTATTCCGCTTGTTCCCATGGATCTGTAAGTTTTAAAGAAGTTCTTTAATGGGGGATTCGCTCATTGTCGAAGTTTAGAGGAGGCGTAATAAATTTAGTATATTGATACTTTCCACGATAAGCAATAAAACATGTGATGATGGGGTTTTGTAGAACCCGTTCATTAGATGATGTGTTCATGCAATAAATTTGAACCTATTTTTTTATCCAGGGTTTTAAGAAAAAAGAATGAATAGTGGAATTATGGATAATATTCAACTTGATAATATTAAAAGGAACAGTTCTTTTTTGAATTGGTATAATGGAATTTATCATTGTTTGAAGCAATATTCTCCAAAGTATTTCAATGAAAAGTTACAGGAAAGTCAAAAAAAAATTCTGCTCATGCAATCAAACTGGCCTCATCCTTTTAAATCAGAGTCCTAGGTTACTTACTGTGG